GACAGTGCTGATGAATAATGCACGAAATTCTTTTCCTGCGACAAAAAACACACACACTGTGAACTATTTTCCCCTGCTTTGCTCTTACAGCCATTGGTTTTATTGCCATTTTTTCCTTCAAAAAAAAAAAAAAAACTTATAAATTATTTTTACCAGCAAAAAGCTTTGACCCAGGCGTTAGAGTATTTGATTCTTCGCTACACGTACATATATCGAGATAATGGAGATGGAGAGTTTACCCTAGCTCTTTCAAATGTAGGTAAGAGTTAGAAACATTCTACAAGTTGGTTTCGTTTTCTTATCGTTTGAACGTAAATGGCAGAAGTTTTTAACTTTCTTTAATATTCCTTAATGTATTTCCACACGAGGTAAGGAACTGTTACACTCTATTCCGAAGTCACCCAAAGATCTCGTAGATTTCTGCAGGTGTAAAGTCAATACTGAAAAGCTCACTAATATATCCAAGAAAAATAGGAATAAAATTAAATTCCTTAATTACCTTGCACGTTATGAATACTTTCCACTGTTACATTCTGTAGTCCCTTACTTCTGAGTTGTGTTCGAATAGCCCGAACCTACAAACGTAAAGTAAAGTAGTATTGTCAATGGTGATACCATTTGGTCATAATTTTTGTAATGAAATTGAGCGAAAACGACCACCGTATTGCTGCGCATCCGCAGTGGACAGCGAAGACATCCACTGCACAGACGACAATAAATCTTTCAGTTTAGCAACGAGGAAAAANGGGTCTGACAAGAATTCCCAGTAGAGTGACTGAGATTCACTTTGACGTCTGTCAAAGCTGTGGCAAGTTAGAGATGTGCGGACAGTGCTGATGAATAATGCACGAAATTCTTTTCCTGCGACAAAAAACACACACACTGTGAACTATTTTTCCCTGATATGCTCTTACAGCCCTTGGTTTTATTGCCATTTTTTCCTTCAAAAAAAAAAACATAAATTATTTTTACCAGCAAAAGGCTTTGACCCAGGCGTTAAAGTATTTGATTCTTCGCTACACGTACATATATCGAGAAAATGGAGATGGAGAGTTTACCCTAGCTCTTTCAAATGTAGGTAAGAGTTAAAAACATTCTACAAGTTGGTTTCGTTTTCTTATCGTTTGAACGTAAATGGAAGAAGTTTTTAACTTTCTTTAATATTCCTTAATGTATTTCCACACGAGGTAAGGAACTGTTACACTTTATTCCGAAATCACCCAAAGATCTCGTAGATTTCCGCAGGTGTAAAGTCAATACTGAAAAGCTCACTAATATATCCGAGAAAAATAGGAATAAAATTAAAATTCTTTAATTACCTTGCACGTTGTGGATGCTTTCCACTGTTACATTTTGTAGTCCCTTGCTTCTGAGTTGTGTTCGAATAGCCCGAACCTACAAACGTAAAGTAAAGTAGTATTGTCAATGGTGATACCATTTGGTCATAATTTTTGTAATGAAATTGAGCGAAAACGACCACCGTATTGCTGCGCATCCGCAGTGGACAGCGAAGACATCCACTGCACAGACGACAATAAATCTTTCAGTTTAGCAACGAGGAAAAAATTGCCACAAAATATCGCAGGAGCAAAAAATCATTTAAACTTTCTGCAGAATCTCTCTCTTGAATTTTTTCATTTATGCCTACTTGGCATTTACGAAACGCCAAGCTACATGAATGTAATACCTGAGTCTTGTAAGCGGATATGACGCCAATCTGAGACAGATCTCTTCTGTTCCACTCCATTGGCCAGTCATCGGCTAGCAACTCGACCCTCTTCACAATTTCTTCAACTTCTGCTGCATTTATGTAAGAGTTTTCTCTCGCTTCCTCAACTCCATGGACTGAAAAGAATAACAGAGGCCCAAACCTTGGGTGGGAGGCCTGTTCACTGCGGGCAATCAACTCTTCTCCGTAGAAATTATAAGAGGGAAATTGCAGGATGTCGGGATGACTCCGATAATTTTCTGTCAAGAACATCACGCTGTCACCCGAGGGCATTTTCTCGCAGTAATGATCAAACAGCCTCTCAGGGAGCGATCTTTGAAGACCCCAGTCTCGTGCATAATGCGAGTAAACTTCTGGGCCCATCTGAAAACATAGGTGGGAGTGTGAACAATACATATCTATTTATTCCAGTTCAAGATAATGGAACTTCCATCGCCAAAGTCTACAGTTCTCATCTGCATGTTTTGCTGGTTTTAACCGACGTATAGCAATATCCAAGTAGCTCAAGAGGAAACAATACAAAGAAAACTGAAGAAATTTATTGTTTTCGGCTGGTTATTGCTGACTTTTTATTCAGTTCGGAAACTCAGCAGATTTTGGT